AGCTACTTCGAAGTATTTCTTTTAACATTCAAACTGCTGTGTGTTCAGCCACATAGTTGAGGTACCGCAGGAGCTTCTTCATCTTGAGAGTTTCGCCAAGCTTTTCCATCGCCCTTGCAGAGTTAGCTGCAGCTGCAATCTTGTCGGTAAGTTTTAGCTTGGCAGCGTAGTCGTCAACAGTCATCCCAGCTTTCAACATCGTTTTCATCTTCTCTGTATTCAGAGCCCTTGCTTCAGAGTCATCGTCGTTTTCAGCTGCCGTGTAGTGTTTCCTCAGTAGACGCTGGGCTTGGCCTACCAAATTAGCAGCCTGAACACCCGTGTTCGTCGAGAGCGCTTCCGTGGTAACCAGGAATGAAGCCGCAATTACAACGATCACATAAGAGAGGCGCATGGTTGGTTGGCTCGGAACTTGAGGGCTGGACAGCAACTTTGGAAATGAGTGTCGCTTTCAGTCGACCTATGTTTGCTGTGTGCTGCACAGCACCCTGTGCATCCGGCCATTCACAAGGTATAAAAAGCATTCCCTAAGATCAGTGGTGTAGCAGCATCGACACCTTGTCCTTTAGGTACTGTATTTAAGCCATTCATTGAACCTAGTACAAATGAAATAGACCTCTCTCAAAAAAAAGACAAGATCAGAGGTACCGCTGGTTCCCGGTGTTCTGCCGGTTTTATTTCTGTAATACTTCTTAATACGCGAATAACTTGTATACGCTCATGTGTTACTCAAAATTTCCTTGCGCGGTTCTTCGATTGAATGCACACACAATAGCGCAAAATCTGTTATTGACTTGCCTTGAGCTTAAACCACTTAAAAACGATCTGGGCCGTTTCAAAATAACGGGAAATTTGTAAGCAAGTGAATCATTGAAAGCGAGTCAGAGCTCACGATACTGGTAAGTGCGTTTTGTAGCATCCTTCTATCAGCTAATTTTTGCTACACACGATGCCATCGGTAACAAAGCAAGTCGAGCTTTTCGTGCGCAAAAACGCGTATGTTTTGAGTTGCGTTTCTAAAACAGATAATATGTGTAAAAGAGACGCAATCATCAGCATTTCTTTTTATCAGCCGGGGCGTTCGAACGTGCGGTACAATCAACACGACAAAATTGCAAAAACACCGTTCGAAACGGTTTGCAACACGCTCAAACGCACAATAGTACCTTTCGGGGCGGGGCGACGCAGCTATGGCGGCAACTAAGGCGAGCGGGTGCGAGGTCGCGTAGCCGCAGCAAACATGCGCGGGGAGCCCGCGAAGCAGGGCCGCGCGGTATTTGCGGAGGCGGGCCCTCACCAGCGAGCCGCGCATTGCACTTCCCAGGTGAGAGAATCTATTAATCGCGAGCGAAGCGAGCCCCAGCCAAGCTGGTAACGACCTCTTACATTATATAATGCCTTTCCACAGGAGAGCCGGGCCCGGCTGCTCTGACAAATGCCAAGTCAAAACAAAGCTTAGGTGCTATCCTGCAAAACAAGGTGTTTTGGATGCGTTGTCCAAACTACATTCGAGTTTCCAAAGTGCTTCCGGACTGATAATCAGTCCGGAAGCACTTTGGAAACTAAGGAAGGCATTCAGTGACTGGATGCCTTATCCAAGTCCATGAAATCTCGATCCACAGAGTACGCCCGCACGACTTCGCTACTTCCCGACCGATTGGTCCTTTCGTCGACCTTATTTCCAGCACGTTCAACACTTCGAGAGCCTGCACATTTCTGTCGATAAAGTCGTGCCGTATCCACTACGAAGCCCGCAAAGACTACAGTGGGTTCACAGAGCTGAGCTCAGTGAGCTCTGAGAGCTCACGACGCACAGGCGCAAGTGTAGACACCTTGGCAGCCGCGTGGCCAACTTGAAAGAACTTTTGCATGAGGTGGATAACGGGTGTGGCGTCAGCTTCTGCGAGTCCACACTGCCCATGCCCAGTTCGCTAGAGTCAGAGGGCTGGGCTGTTGCCTCTCGGAGCTGACTGATGACGTTGCATGCGTATAACACGTCGTTGGCTTTGTCTTCGGCAAGGATATTGAGGTCGCAAGCGAGCGAATGTGGCCGAAGTGTTCGCGAGTGAAACATCGGCGTTATTCGACGTCGTTTTTGCTCCAAGGAACAAAGTTTCAATTAAGTTGGGCATTTCTGCTGCGGCAGACGTTGCAGAAGCTTCGCCGCTCTTGCGTTTCTTCTTCCTTGTCGAGCTCTCGTGGCCTTTTCCAGCTCTTTGAAGCGCTGCGCCGCGTTGGATAAACGCAGTTCGCTTACGATGTGCGGGACGTTGACTGTTTCTATACGCTACCGAGCTCTTGTCCGTAGCTTCCACTTGCTGAGTACTTGCCGCCTCTCTCGCTACCTCACGTGGCCACGATTGCTCCGTTCTCACCGCCCGCACAGCCTCCCCATTGCTATCTCGTTCGTCAAGTCTACTCCAAGCGAACAGAGGTTCTCGTACAAGTCGCGATGTCCATTCTTGAGAGCCAGAGGAGCGATTGTCTCCTTCGTGTGGAGCGTTGGCGTGTTCAAGTCCACTAAGTTATCTGCCACTAGAATTATCATCACAACGTCAGCGTATCCTTTCATCACCGCAGCCATAGTGTTCGGTAGACCTTCTCTAAAACACACTAGATCTTTTTTTCTTGGGCTCTTCTCGACAATGAGGCGGAGCACGAGAGCTCCAGGATTGGCCATCCACTCGACAACGTCCGCGTCGTGCGCTGAGCCAGCCGCGGCTTGATGCAACAGCGTACAAAGGGCACCTCAGTTGTCTTTCGTTCAAGGTCCAAGAAGCTGAGGATCTTTCCTAAGTTCTGACTTGAGGTAGCTGACATCGTCTTCATTTAGATGTCCAGTACTGGTCTCCAACTGCCGCATCAGATCCGAGAGCCCTCGCGATGGATCAGAATGCGTCACACAACTCTAAGAGCACCTTGACAATGTCGTAACTGAGCTCCAACATATCGGGAGAGAACACGCGTCTTGAATAAATCGGTCCCGCAAGCACTGCCCGATGTATACAATGTATACATCAAAAGAGTCTGGTGCAGATGCTGTAAAGTATACTATGTAGGCAGCAGTGTCAGGAGGCTCCACGTGCTCGAAACTTCACGCAAGTTAAGCTTCTTTAAGTCTCCACACTGATACGTGGGGTCATAGACTCCATGAACTGTAGCAAAGCGCGACGGCGTTAGGAAAACTGCGTCGTAAACCTCCAACATTTTCTCGAAAAACGGGATCCACTCGAGATATTCCCCTGATACGAGAGCATTGTACACATGTCCGAACGCTCGACAGATAGTCGCAATCTCCTCCCCCGTACGAAGGGATTCGAGGTGAATATCCAGCACCTTAAAAACTGCTGGCACTTGATTAAACCTGCCAATAATACGAGCTCGATCGCGTGACATATCGGTCTTAAGGGAGGGCAAAACTTAAGTTCTCGTCGCCATTTCCTCCTTGCGTTCTGACACATTTCATGCGTTTGACGTAGCGACTCAGTCCTCCATCTCCTAGGAGCGCAAGCACCGACTTGATCCAGCACGTACACGCAAATACCAACGGGATTGAAGCTCGACGGGAAGTGAAAAAGTCATCCAGCAGGCCTAGAAGCGATCCCTTCCAAACTTGATCGATCGAATTGTACACCTTCCTCCTTCTCTATCTCCCTAATCGTGTCGTAAACCAACGGCAGTTGCTGCATCAAGAACGCAGAAACGTTAAGTGGATCTGACAACGTGTACGTTGGCGTGTGTTCTTCTCTGTATCTTACCACCTCAAAATGATGTGGAAGCTGCCCAGCGGCTCGAAAGGCCAGGGTTTGTATTGTAGCACTTTCAGGAATGCGGGAAGAGTAGAAGACGAGAAGCGTTGTTTGAAAGGTAAATCTGAAAGTGAATTGAAAGTTAGCACACTCCTAGTTAGCTTCTCACTACGACTAACCTACGAGCCTTGCTTCATACGCAGGTGCTGGTGTCATCGGAAGCCGTTTGTCGTCGCATGTGATGGCACCAGTCACAAAATATTCATGCAAGCTTATCCTCATGGCCGACGAGCAACTCAGCCCTTCGTTTGGGCTGGCACTTAAATCAGTCATTCCACTTTGGGCATTCCACCTCCTTGATCTCCAGCGGCTTCTCCGTTGGAGCTGCTGTTGCCACAACCTCGTCACACACAGTCCATGGCGAAATCTCGGATATCCAACATGTATGGCTCGCCCCTTTTAAATTTCTGGTTGAGAGTGCGACCGAGTTCTGCTTTTTCGAGTGCCACTCGATCGGCATGCCGTTTAGCATCACTACCGCACCGGAGACAGATTTGGCGTCTCGGTTGTCGCCGGCCCAATCAGCATCGGCGAAGATTGTAGTCTGGAACGTCGTCGCCGCGTTAGTATCAGACTGAAAGAACAGACCGTAGTCCATGGTGCCACGCAGGTAGCGCAGGATGCGCTTAACACCAACCCAATGTCCTTCACAAGGTCGTGCCACGAAGCGCGCGAAGTAGTTCACAGCCGTCGTGATGTCTGGACGGGTGCAGTTAGAGATCCACAACAGTGAACCCACAGCCTTGCGCATGATGCTGCTGCGCTCCATGATGATGTTGTCGTCGTACTGGCGCATGGTGTCCATGGGGGTTGCCATTGCCTTGCAGTCTGCCATCTCCATGTCGGTGAGCAGTTGCTGAATTGAATCGCGTTGGTGGAGAATAAATCCATCAGCGCGACGATCAATGCTGATACCCAGGCACTTGTCCGCTTCTCCAAGATCCCTGATGTCGAAACGCTTGTTCAACTTGCTCATGACCCAGTCGCTGTCCTCGT